AGCTGCTTAATTCCTGGCATTGGGTCATTTTACATGTTACGCATTCGCAGAGGTCATCGTCATCTTCATCGGGGATTACTTTTGACCCACACTTCACACAACTGCTGTAGGTCTGCATATCCATAGGGAGGTCTGGAGGCTTGTGGTCAGTTTGGTATAGGAATTGATATATAGTTCCAGCAGCGCCATTACATAAACCCACCTGTTGCCATATGTTAGATGTTAGCATTACATGGGCTTGTTGAAGCAAGTAAAACAACGTTGAAGCAACATTTGCCAGTGTGACATTGCCATCTCTTAGCCTGAGAAGTAAGTTTGATCTGAGCCGGCTTGTCTGAGTAGCTACTTGGTCTAGAATGATTACAGTTGAAAATGAAAAGCACTGAAGTGCAAACCCTCGGTGCGGTACTGCTGGGCTATATAATTCTCTAGTAGTATCACCCAATGTACATATGCTTACAGTGGAGAGTCTCCTGCATTATGATCACAATAGCTTGCTGGAAACACATCCAGCAAGTACCCAGAAACACCCCTACCAGCAACCTTGGCTGCAAAATCAAATCGAAAATCTGCATACATCTTGTATTTGCCATCCTTCGTCAGTCTTCCAAATGTATTCGTAGCAACATTTTCATGAAAGCCTGCAATAGCATGAACATTGGTGTACAGGTATCTCATTGACTCACTAGTACTTTCTCGGTCTGGTTCATTCGTACCAACACTCGCACTTGCACTTGCACTGCCACTCTGATCAAGTTGCTCTGCAGGAAAGGTGCCCTATCATATAGGTCATGCACAATAGGTAGGTAGATGCACCTGTGTGGTGGAACTTCAGCTACTATGGGCGTACAATAAATGGGGATGGACACTTTTGTATTTCACCATTGTGGACAGAATAGTTGGACACAAAATTCACAAGGTTAATATTGGGCAGACCTGTGTGTGTTGCATAGTAGGAGGGATTTCTCAATCTTTTGTTCTCCTGAATGGTTGTCACCATTTTCGAGTTGTTCAAATTCAATAGTTGAATGTAACTGTTCTGGGTGTGGAAAATTGAAACGGCATTGTAACTGCTGCTGAGCAGACTTTTTCTTCAAACAGTATGCTGTGCTGCATTTTGTATGTCTTTGCACTGTGTTGACAATGTTGTGGTAGTCTTCGTCATCCACATCATTCATGCTTGTTACGTTTAAAGCATTACGGCATTGATTATTAACAGTGGTGACCAACCAGTCTGCATACTCTAATGCAGTTTTTTGCAGCTGTTTTTCCTTCTTGAAGAATTTGTTGGATGTCTTGATTGTCCTCCATTGGTGTGCAATCGTTTGGGAAGGGGTGCGCCAGGCAAGCTGTCAGGAACACGTTGCATCTTCTGGTGCCTCCGAAGTACGCAGAGCACGCAGATCGATCCGACTGTGGTAAGCCATCCCGTCCGTTTCGTATTTGCATATTGGCTTTTTCGCGCTTTAGCTTTGCAACGGAGCATTTTCAGAGAAAACCACCTTTATTTTCTGACCTTCGTCGCCCGTTAAGCAAGTCGTATCCTTTGTGAGACGAACAGACACTGGAGAAGTGAGATTGAGAGTAACAGACAGACAGACAGTCAGACAAACCCAATGAAAAGCACTAAAGTGCAAACCCTCGGCGGGCGAAGTAGCTCGCAGAGACTCTGACACGGGCTAGCTACAGTAGTAGATAGCACGCGAGAGTCGATACACGCCATTCGTTGTGACTTCTTGTGCCTTCAACATAGACAGAGCAAGCGGACCCGGTCGAGGTAAGCCTGTGCTAAATATAAGCGCATGCGCATTATCCGCCAGCGATAAAATGGCGGCTACCGGCATATTAGCCATACAATGCTGGAAGCGCTCTAGCTCTGCAACGGAGCATTTTCAGAGAAAACCCCACATACTTTCTGACCTTCGTCGCCCGTTGGGTAGATGGTATTGTTTCTGGGACGAACAGACATTCGAGAGGTGAGATGTAGAGTAACAGACTCACACAGACAAACCCAACTACAGTAACCCTCGCTGCGCATGCGCGCCGAGGGTTTGCACTTCAGTGCTTTTCATTAACCCTCGGCGCGCATGCGTTTTGTGACGCGCACGCGTAAGTAAACGCATGCGAAGTACCACTAATTGATGGGCTGGGTTTAGTTTAGCTGTTACTCGTGGTCTCTTGCCAGCTAGCGCAGAGTCTAACGCTGGCTAACTACACTACTAGATGGGATGCAAGAGGCGATACACGCCCTGCGTTGCATCTTCTGGTGCCTCCGAGGTACGCAGAGCACGCGGAGCGATTATGCCGTAGTTAGCCGCGCCGTCCGTTGTGTATTTGCATATTGGCTTTTTCACGCTCTAGCTCTGCAACGGAGCAGTTTCAGAGAAAATCCCATATATTTTCTGACCTTCATTGCCCGTTAAGTAGGTCGTATCCTTTGTGAGACGAACAGACACTCGTGAAGTGAGATTGAGAGTAACAGACACACACACACACACAGACGTACCTAGACATACCCAACTACAGTACCCTCGCTGCGCATGCGCGCCGAGGGTAACTACAGTAACCCTCGCTGCGCATGCGCGCCGAGGGTTAATGAGCACCTAGAGTATGGTTCGTTTCCTTAAGTCATGATTCTAGAAACAGCAAGATTCTTGAGTAAGTGTTTTAAGTTGTATAGTGTAATCAGCAGATAAGTAGCTCAATTGCACTGCAAATGGAAGCACTGCTACAGAAAAGTCTCAAATGTGAGTGCAGGCTTTAAGAAAAGTTGCAACTATGAGTCCAGCCTTCAGAAACGGTTTCAACTTTGAGTGCAGTTTACTAAGTGATATATGTCTTGAATATCAGTTGAGCAGGTATAGTACACATTAAATGAGGAACGCCGGGATTGAGTATCAAAAGAGGGCATTAATTCAACTGTAGTGTTATGGGAAAAACATGGTATTTTTGTAGATCCCCAATATGTTTGCAATTTTCAGTACCATACACTCAAGATATCAAGCTTAATGACAATAGTCAAAAGTGAAGCACAAGTGGTGTTTTACCCAGCACTGAGCCCACGTTACCCAGCGTTGAGTCCTGAATTGGTTCTTCATTTGAAGGGTGCATCCATCAGTGAATCCCAGGTTTGAAAATGTTCCTCCATACCCACTGTTGAGTTCTCATGTAAGCCACAGCTGAGATCCAAGTTCTCTTCCATACCCACTGTTGAGTCCTTATGTACCCACTGTTGAGTCCGAGGTTCTCTTCTATACCCACTGTTCAGTCCTTATGTACCCACTGTTGAGTCCCAAGTTCTCTTCCGTACCCACTGTTGAGTCCAAGGTTCTCTTCTATACCCACTGTTCAGTCCTCATGTACCCACTGTTGAGTCCCAAGTTCTCTTCCGTACCCACTGTTCAGTCCTTATGTACCCACTTTCTCAAATGTGAGTCCAACATGTGGCTTACCCTGAACCTTGGTCTCATACGTGAGTCAAATGTGAGTCCAACACGTGGCTTATCTGGAACCTGGGACTCTAATATGAGTCCAACATGTGGCTTACCTGGAACCTGGGACTCAAATGTGAGTCCAACACGTGGCTTATCTGGAACCTGGGACTCAAATGTGAGTCCAACACGTGGCTTATCTGGAACCTGGGACTCAAATGTGAGTCCAACACGTGGCTTATCTGGAACCTGGGACTCAAATGTGAATCCAACACGGGCTTATCTGGAACCTGGGACACAAATGTGAGTCCAACAGGTGGTTTACCTGGAACCCGGGACTTAAATGTGTTGACTCGAGTTTTCAATAACATACTTTTACTAAAAATATTACAATTAAAATTAAGTAAACAAACACTAATCACTCAAGAATTTTAAAGACTAGGGGCAAATTCTTGAGTACAGGTGTCTTATTTTTCTAAATTCTTGAGTAGACCCCAACAATTCCCCTTGCAGAAGAATATTGATTTAAAAGTGGGCTAGTTAGCATTTGTTTCTTGGGACGTTTCCCCACAAATATCATAGTTTTTATGTAAAAAAATACATTATAAAAGGACAAAGTCTTTTCCATTGTGTTTGTAATGCATCAAAGTATCCAGCAAAATGCTCCAATAATATGAGTGTGCAGTTTTCAGAACCTTCTTCTTTTGAATGTGTACACAGGTAGCTAAATGATGCCGTGGTACCATTACAGTTCTGTACTATAGGTTTGGTTCCTGTTCCTTTGATTGTTGTGAATGTGTGTTTTTCTTTCATGCGTCGTTCTGTGATTGCAGGGAACTCATCCGTTCACAGGCTGGTCAGTTCTGATCATGGCTGAGAAATACGACTGACTGAAAAACGACTTTCTCTCTTCAGTTTGTTTTTTTCTCTAATGATGATGATGATAATTAATTTTTACAATCGAAATGTGGCATAAAAAGTGGCATAGAAAGGATATGAGCAGTGAAAAAAGAAGGGAAACGGAGTGTGTAAAAAATGATGAGAGTGGGGTATAGGAGGAAGAGGAGGAAGAAATTGAAGGGGGCACGTCGGAGCCGGAGGAGTCAATTAAGATGATATTATGATTACTGGGAGCTCTCCCCAGAGACGGAAATCTTGGTATAATTTTGGTCCAGATCTTCGGTTGATGCGTCGTGCAGTGGGTTAGTGGTGTCCAGTCAGTGCAAACTTTGACCTTCGTCTGCGTTCCATGGAATAGGAACCGGAATCCCTACACATATCGTCAGTGGTACTGGGATCAGGGTTTGGGGAGTACTCTTTTGAGTCATCAGTGGAATCAGTGTATGGGAGTATATATGTGTTTCTGGTCAAGTGTGATTGAATCGGCGTATGGAGATATGTCTGGGTCTATGGTACTGGTTCGTAGTGGTAGGGGGGGTGGGTGCGATGCAAAACCATTGGGGACCACAGAGTGCAAACCGTCGCCACACCCGACGACGGAGTATAGTTGGTGGTCATCGTGGAGATGTGTGTGAGTGGTGAGGAGGGAGGAGGGAGGAGGAGGAGGTTGGGGCAGATGTGAAGGGGGAGGGATGGAGTTCTTACAATGGCTCCTCTGTGTACCAACATTGTGGCTGTAGCAAGAGACAGGGAAGTAATTATACTAGCTCTGAAAAATAGGACACTTTCGCTGTTCCTTATTCGGAGGTTCTACTGTAGTTAATGAGTCATTTACATTTTGTTGGTTGGCCTTTCGCCGGATGGAAAAGTATGCCACAAGTATCGCCACGACAACCACCACAATCACCACGACAACGATAACCACAATGACTCCCACTACTCCTCCTGTTGTATCGCGCCCTTTGACCCCAGCGGCAGTGACTGTAGGATGCTCTGGTGAGGTCTTTGGGGTTGCCATGGAGCTACTGCTACTCTGCGGCCCTGCAGTTGGCACAAAGGTAATAAATAGGTCAATGGTATTGGTGGTGGTCATGGAACACGTGGACCAGCACTTATGTTCCATGCCATACAGCCTGGATGGCAGAGGTCCTGGCGTGAGGAGCTACACCTGTCAGTTCCTTGAACTCCACTTGTGATGTTATGTCTTCCACTGAATGAGGAAACACACTGCTTCCTCCAGTGAAAACAAAACACAGATGTGACTGTGCCTAACTCCATAATAATCAGGGGGTGCCAACAAGTGTGTCGTAGTATAGAAAAATGAGAGGAAAATAGTAAAATTAAAAGAAATCACAATTATTATAACACCCAGGACAAATAAAGGAGCAGTAATGGGTGGGAGTTGAAACACAAATATCTCTCATTTGCTCTACCATAGAGCTGTCAGGGTGGAATATTTGAAGTCTGCAATGCAATGCATAACTACTCAAGGTTAGAGGCAAACCCAAAGCTCTGTGCTGTAAATTATCATGGCATTAGTTATCTAAGAAGACATGCACCAACTGCTCCCCAAATAAAAGTACTAAAGTGCGACGAATTGCGCATGTGCGATACTGCTAATTGATGGGCTGGGCTATATGCGTTTACTCGTGTACGCGGAGAGTCTGACACTGGCTAGCTACAGTAGATAGCATGCGGGAGTCGATACATGCGATTCGTTGTGACTTAATCAAGTAGCGGTAGCTAACATATTATTGGCTTGATCTCTCGAACGTAGTGGTTTCAATAAAATTATTTTCAGGCTCGCGCAGTTCCGAAGCCGCTAATAGGCCGCCTCGTAGCCTGTATAAGCGTCGACATACAGACAGACAAACCAACTACTGTAACCTAAGGTAAGAAAGGTTTGTCCTGGTAGCTAACGCCCATGGATAATGATAGCAAGATCCAGAGAGTAAGCTGATTGATTGAGAATGAAAGCTTTGTTGAGAACGTTCACGATCCCGTACACCTCTGCGAGGTTTGTAGCCTCGTGCAATATCTCAACTACCTTATCCTGCGAGGTGTCTTCTCGCAGAACGACGATGTAGCAGCCTGTCTTGTTGGCTGAGTCTGCAGCACGCAGGAGCGCACAACGCCTTGCAGAGACTCCGACAGCGAAGCCGAGTAACACTGTAACTAGCCAGACCTTCATCTCAGCGAAGCAAGTAGGCTCCGCCGCTGATTTGCATGAGCTACGCCTTCTTTCGTGCGCGTCGCGGACGGGCCGGGTGTCTGATATTGCACCGCAGTTGCTAACGGTTGCGCCTCGGGCTGCGTAGCGTGTTGGCATCTCGGTTGGTATGCGCAATTTAGAGGGTCAGCGCTCCGGCATGGAACACTTCTTCTCTAGCATCGTTGCAATAATCCTAGCTCTCCTACTAGCCACCGGTGGGGAGTCATGGACCGGCACGCGAGGCGGGTGTTCTTCTCCCTCGTCAATGGCAATAAGCCGTATCATCACTAGTACATACAACGATTCCGGCCTACGAATAGTGATTAGAGAAAACGAAATTGTTTGCAATTCGTATGCTTATGAAAAAATGACGGTACTCTGTCTGTATGACCGGTGCAACGAAACGTCGTGCCTACCGGAGCCCGTGAGTGTGGTACTGGATATACTGTGCCTAGACGGCGTGTGGGAACTAACGCACTACGAGAGTGTCAAATTCTACAATCTCTCTACTGAAAGTCCTAACTGCACCGATTGTTTGGATGTGGAATTGGTTCAAAGCAGAAAGTACCCTATCAATCCCCCTGGCTTGCTGGCGTACAACCAGACGACTCACTGCCTGTGTAAGCGTAACACTCACCATGCTGCGTTTATCTTCCCCTTTACCATTGTGTGTGGCCTGGTAACTCATACCCTATACTATGTGGGTCTATAGTATAGGGTATGAGTTAATCTAGGTAATCTAGGTATGGGCACAAAGATAAGGTGCATTGTTCTAACAGATGTTGAAAATTGCTGGGCAGACTCTGGTGTAAGTGTGTGGCCAGAAGAGTTGGGACTGCTTATTTCCAGAAGTACACACCCAATTCCCCAAAAATCAGTCATTATCTCACACCTGAGAGGCTGAAATAACATATGATAAGTGCATGAGTCAGAAGACAGGGAAAGGTTGGCTAATTGATGGGCTGGGCTATGTGTTATTGATACCTGTGGAACGGGATTGGAAACACATTTTCTTTCAAGTGCTCATCTGTGGTATAATAATCTATGAGTAGTTCGACAACCCAGACCATCAATTAGCGATAAAGATGCTTATTAATCTCCGCAATGTGCATTAGTACAACAAACGTATATACATGTGTGTTAGTGCACTGTGTGTTCTGCACTCACTTAAAGCAGCTTGCTAATAGAAGATGGATGGTGGCTAGCTGGCTTTCATCCTTTCACAAGAATGTTCACATGTGAGCTTTGAACCAGCAGCAAATTAAGAGGGATAAGCCCTATAAATATTTTCATAATCACGTGATAGGTAATGTAAATGACGTCATACTCATCAGCCATACAGATAATGTGCGTTTAGAGTTCTATACGTGATTTATGGGAACGAGGGGTGTGGTCGAGAGACTCGCCGAGTGCTGTGTGGGTCTCGAGACCACAACCCGAGTTCCCTAAGTCATGTATAGAACGATAGTCTATATAAGAACATTGGAGTGGAATGAGGGTTGGAGGTTATGTGTGGGCTGTGTATGTTTTGATAGTCATGTGTGCATGCAAAGCTAGTAGCTTGGTTGTAGTATCTATTACAGGGATGGTGTTTCAAGTTCCCATTAAGATTTGGAGGCCAGATGGAGAAGCTGGTGCAGATCTAGGCACTACTGTCCCGTGGCTCTTTGCCGGTATGGGCTCAATGACTAATAATCTGTTCTCCTCTGTGGGAGTTCTCTAATCTCACTCTAGGTCTGGTTTGTAAGCTAGTGCATACAATCAGAGAGTCGTTAGACTCTCTAGGGACCACACAGGTGAAATCTCACGTTATCCGCGTACAAAACGACTAAAAACTCGGTGAGAATCACTTCCTAGGCCTTCAAAACATACTAGCAATAGTCTACGGGCCCATTTCTACCTATCCCCAAGACCTCATACGCACCTTCAGTCGTCCACGCAAGAATTTGCTCATACGCGATTTCACGATTTTCGTGTCATCATCATATTCTTCATCTTCTTCTTCTTCTTCTTCTTCAGACCCGCTAGCTCCTTACCGGAAGCACTTGAAGCGTTAATTTTTTCACAGAACGTCTCCGAATTTGAAGGTGTGCACGCATATCAAGCGATCGTTTGTTTCTTGCCGGAAGTCACTACGGTAGATTGTTGCGCTCTTCCTCGGTAGTCACTGAACAACACCATTTGCTGCTAACTCAGCATCAGTGCGCCGCATGTGCCGAGGAGGGTGTTTCCAATGCAGTGCACGCGCATTTTGTCTCGTGAACCTGGCCAACGAACGAGACTAAGCCAGGACTGGATGCCTTCTGAGAAAACTACTCTCATCCTCCAGTGCCTTCTTTAAGTCAGTGTACACATTTGTAAGTGGCTAGCTTGCGTTTTGCTGTTGATTTGCACGAGGAGCAACTTGGCAATCTGTGCCGTGTTACGCGTGCCTTGCCCAGCGCCTTCATTCTTTGTTCCCCAGGTTATAGCTATCATTGTAGTCTGATTTCTGAAGCCTGCCCAATGAAACTACCACCATATGTGCGACAACCTAATCGCGTCCTTGGCGGAGACACTATGCATATATACACACTGCTTCAGGTAAGAGCATTCCATTAGCTTCTGCTTTCAACAGTTATCTCTACAACTTACCCATGAACATCAGAGTGACTGAAAATGCAGTGTTGTCATAAGCTTTTAAAAGTAGTGGAAACAAGTAGAAAAATAATTTCTTCAAAACGGAAGTGGGATATAGGGATGACTTGAAGCACCAAAAAGGAAGAAACAAGGGGTCATTACACACCAAATATGCACAAAGCCGCATGACACCGTCCCTATATCTTTGTCTCATATTACACTTTGCTTATGAACAATAAAACAAATATATAGGGATGGTGTCATGTGCTTTTGTGCATATTTAGTGTGTAATGACCCCTTGTTTCTTCCTTTTTGGTGCTTCAAGTCATCCCTCTATCCCACTTTCATTTTGAAGAAATGATTTTTCCACTTGTGTCTCTAGGGTGGACTGGCCCCAGGAGAATTTTGGTCTTAAAGGCTGCATTTAAGATATGATCCTCCAGTCTACCTGCCTAGAGCATAGTAGCCAGGTGTCCCCTATATTACACCCCATACTATGGGGTGTAATTAGTGTCAAAATTAGTCCCCAGCAGGACTTACACACAGAAATACTGCATATCTGCACCACTGTCAACTGTTGCTGAGCATGGAAGCTCTCCTCCCTTGGCCTCTACATCTTTCTTGCTGACATAGCCATTGTTCTACTGATGGCATACGCCAGCTCGCTTATCAGGTTTTCGGCTAGCTACCACTCCCCAGAAAAAATTCTGTTATTGGTGAGCGAAGTGGGCCTACCTAGGCGTCCGAATGCAGAATTTCCCCGTATGGACCGACATAAACATACTGTAATGTTTACTTCAATTTGAATACATGCTAAGCACGTGCAAAAATATTGAAATGCTCGCACCGCATGTAAAATGCTGTTTTCGTTTTACGTGCGTCTAAATACACACAAACCATGCACGAAATTTTGAACTGCTCGCCCTCGCTCGCCAAAGAATGGGTACATTTCTTTAGTATCCCTCTTTTGTTTAGCCCTCTGCTTTCTCTTGGACTGTGGCACTCCACCTGTAAAGCAGTTATAATGTGTTCAGAAGTACCACTCCTGACTAATGTGCATATTAATTCTCCTTTGATGCTCTGAGTGGATAGGTTATTTTTAGGGCAGTTAAGCTGAGGCAAGATGAAGATTTATGGCTGTAATAGGAAGTTCTCCTCTTTCAGATTCAATGGGGTTGCATTATTTTGTGAGAATAATATATCTGTTGCCACGGGTCTGGTCGTACCCTTTTTTTTTAAAACAACAACACAATTATGTAACGTATTAGTATAAATTAACATTTTGTTCAAACAACGTTTTCTATGATCCATATCAAAGCCTCTGTTTTAACTGGCGAATTATATCTGTCATGTCGCACTATAATTGCCAGATCTCGAAATATGGGTTCCTAGGTGAGTTTTAAAACCGTCTGATCTATCATTAACTTAACACCAAAAAACTGTGCTTGGAATCAACGAAAGTGGCTAGATATGGCATTTGGTGCTGCACATGTGATACTGCGTGGGGTATGTGCTCTCCAGAGCTCTACTTAACCCTCGGCGGCGTGCATGCGCAGCGAGGGTTAATGTAGTTGTCGTGTCTGTCTGTCTGTCCGCGAGCTATCTCGAGCAATCGATCGCTCCACAAACGATGCCACGTATTCAGCGTCGGTCAATGGTCGACATCAATGTGGGGTTTTCTCTAAAACTGCTGCATTCTAGAGTTATGGCGTGAAAACCAAGTGAACGAGCCAATATACAAATTAGCACGGGCTTACCTCGAGATGCGCGCTCTCTAGCACCGAGATGCGCTTGCTCTGCGTAACTTGGAGACACCAGAGGTTGCAATGCGGGGGCGTGTATCTCTCGCATGTTATCTAGTAGTGTAGCTAGCCCGTTACCAACTCTCAGGGACCTGGTAGGAGACCGCGAGTAGGTAAAACGGCTCAGCCCAACAATTAGCAGTACAACACATCCGCATACTTACGCGCGCGCATGCTTGGCACAATCTGTTCGTGCATGCGCAAGATATTCTAATCCCCTATTGTTGAGATAAAACATGGCATATGCACAGCGAAAGATGAAAAAATTATTTATACTATAGACATAATTTGCAGCAAGACTCGAACTGGCAGCGTCTGTATATTGCACTCATTATTATAGAGTGCTGGGGCAATGCAGTGGGGTGCACAGCGGCCTATTCATTCTTCTCTACTGATGCCTATGCAAGCCAATGTGCTTGTTTCACCACTAGCACGGATTGTGAAAGGAAACAAAGTGGCTAACCTGGCTGCTATACCTTTAACTTGTTTACTCCACAAATTAGTGTCCCCTGCTGCATGTGTTTTATAGTGTGAGGTGACAATACTATTTATGTTATTGTCACATTAGTGCTCCCCTCCTGCTATAATGAGGCTGGTTGACTTATTGGATACTTCAGTGCCAGAGAATGTTGCGTGGAGATGGAAGAGAGCCGTTCATACAGATACGGAGATAGATCTTTCCCCTGCATAGGTGTGTTAATGCCTGCATTGGCTGCATTTGTATCTGTTTACTTCATACATTATATAGTCCATGGATTTGTGAAGACAAAATACAGTGTAGTAGAGGGGGATACATTGGACATTGTGTTCGAAAGAAATGGCAAGGGCACAACTAAATTTCCACTGCTCACAATCGAAGGCAGGATCATATCAGAGGGGGATGAGGATGGTAAGTTCCAACATACAGTGAGTAACTTGATAAGTAATCAGATTCCTCTTATTTTTTGCAGATTACCAGCCAGTCTCAGTCACTTTGATTCGGAGAGATTCAAGGATAACTTTCAGTTTGACTGCATACAATGATATGATTGCATTGGAAGATGGCGACAAAGTCATTCTAAGACACACCTCCTATATCAATAATTATGTTAATCTGGTGGAGCAAAGAGGGGAGTTTATCAGCCACACTACGGAAGTAACCATTGTGGATAAAAACAACAGTAAGTCGTGTACCTAGCCTAAATCTAAAGTGATCATTACAAACTCTCAAACTGTGCAAGAATTCCTAGCTTAATTAACCCTTTGGATGCCATGGCATGGCCGTATCCACAAACTGCTCATCTAACGTGAACTGCTGTCTACATTGCGGACATACCTTGCTCAACTTGTTATCGGTTGGGTTGAAAGAGAACAGAGATCAAAACTGACAGAGGGGAGACACTGCAGAAAAACTGCTTGGCAACATTATGATGCAGCCAAGAATGTTACTTATCACTACCGTGCTTAGTATATAGGGATGACTCAGGTTGTCCTGCATTATGCCCATACGTTTGAAATTTGTACGGTTAATTTTCAGTTTTAATCAGATCCAACTTTTGATATATCAGACTGATCTGTATCGTCACAAAGAGCATGTATCCAAGAAATGGCTTTAATCGCATAATCGGTACTTGAATTTCAAAATTCTTCTTGTTGAACACACGTATCTCAAAACCACTTAAGATATGGCGATGAAACTTTGCACAAAGATTGGAATCCGTGACCTGGCGTGCAAGAGCATTTTAATTAACCCTCGGCGCACATGCGTAGAGAGGGTTACAGTAGTTTGTCTGTGTGTGTGTGTGTGTGTGTGTGTGTGTGTGTGTGTGTCTGTCCACGACTATTCTCGCACTACAGGCTACGAGGCAGCCTAAGAGCAATACCAAACGCTTCAGTGCTACAAGCGCATGAAAAAAATGGAGATTTTTCTGAGACAGCAGCGTTCGAGTGCGAGAAACTGGCACAGTCCCATCAATTAGTGGTGCGCATGCGTATTAATTCACGCGTGCACGCATATGCAAATTATCACAGGCTTATCTTGACCGCCTCTGCTCGCTCTGTGTATCTTGAATGCACAATAAGTCACAACGAAGGAACTGCATCGACTCCCGCATGCTATATACTACTGTAGCTAGACTGTGTCAGACTCTCCGCAGGCTACTAGCGGGACACCACGAGTAAAGGCAGCCCAGTCCATTAATTAGTGGTACCGCACATGCGCAGTTCGCTGAGGGTTTGCACCTTGAGCGCTTTTACTTTTTTTGGTAAACAATGTTATTTACATGTAAACAACAAAAAACAACAAAACAAAATAGCCCCAGGCCATACATTATGATATAGACCAATAAAGTAACTTGGTAGAGCAAATACCCAGAATTATAAAACATTGTGCACACATGCAACCCATCATTAATATCAAAATGTAAACATTACAAGTTGTAAACAACAACAAACAGCCTCAGGCTATATAAACTTGTAAAATGTGTTTGTGGATAGAACTTGCTTATGGTGGGTTCTCTAACAATGAAACTTGGTGCACTGATTTACCATGATGAGAGTACATCGAAATACAAATTACAAGTTTGTAAACAACAACAAACAGTCTCAGGTAATAAATACATGTGAATGATGTTTGTGCATATAACTTGCTTAAGGTTGGTCCAGAACAATGAAACTTGGTACACTGATTTATCATGATGAGAGTACATCGAAACTCAAATTACAAGTTTGTAAACAGCCTTAGGCAATAAATACTTGTAAATGATATTTGTGTATATAACTTGTTTATGGTTGGTCCTCTAACAATGAAACTTGGTACACTGATGTACCTTGATGAGAGTTTATCGAAACGGAAATTTCCAAGTTTGTAAACAACATCAAGGCAATAAAAACCTGTAATGGTGTTTGTGCGTATAAATCACTTGTGGTTGGTCCTCTAACAATGAAACTTGGTACACTAATTCACCATGATAAGAATTGATTGAAACAGAAAATTACCAAAAAAAAGACTTAATGGTGTCAGTGCCTATAACTTGCTTATGATGGGTCCTCTCACAATCAAACTTTGAGCACTGATGTAATGTGAACAACGACAAAACGTCTGAGGTGATAGCTTAAGGCCACTAATGTTACTTTTTTTATGTGCTTATGCCCAAAAATATCCTCTTTTTATTGCACACAATGCATGTGAATGCAGTAAAAAAAGGAAAGGAGACAAGTAAAGAAAAAATTAAAAAGTGTGGAATATAGGGATGCCATAAAAAGCAAGGAGACAAGAAAGGAATGACCTGGTGAACCCGATGCAGTAATACAATGGATGATGGCTACATACTTTGAACTGACATCACTTGCTCCTGTAAACCTTCCTCCACACAAGCCCTATATTGTTGCCACCTTTACTGTTTGTTTAGTGAAGTGCGAGGACAAGTGTGAAGTGCGAGGACAATGGTGAAAGGATTCTGTATGTAGATGGCCAAGAACGCAGCATTGTAAAACTGGTTAGTTGAGCAAATGTAGAAGTCTTAGACTTCACACAATGCAGTCACAACTGAAAACCAAGCAGATGGTGTTACCTGTCTAATCGCTTATGAAATAAATCACAACTGTGCATCATACAAGGGAGCACGCTCGTACTTTGCGACAATATAGGGCTTGTGTGGAGGAAATTTTACAGGAGCAAGCGACGTCAGTTCAAAGTATGTAGCCATCATCCATTGTACTACTGCATCACGATCACTAAGGTCATCCCTGTCTTGTCTCCTTACTTTTTATGGCATCCCTATATTTCACACTTTTTTAATTCGAAGATTCGAAGATTCGAAGAATTTTTTATTTACTTGTAGCACTAGCCATAGTAATAGCATGATTAGTTGGGATAGCTTTCTGATTTCAATACAAGGGTACAGGATTCAGACTTGACTACCTCAATTTTTCCATTTTAAAGCCAATATCGAATTTTGATTTTGTACTTCACATACAAATGTATTGTAACACGTAGATCACGGATAAAAGCTGAACAAAGAACATATTTGCGACTGTATAATTGCCAATCATTGTGTGTTGAACTATATGCTTTTTAACGTTCTAGGAGTTTACTGTACACTGTAGAGCAGTAGAGCATCTATATTCACCCAGGGGAGCTATAGATGACGGAGGGATTGTGGGTTGTTTAGGTAGTAGGAAAAAGAATTGCCCTGGATATTTTCTTTGTTGATATTATTTTTACCTTTCAAATCTAACGATTAATTGTAGGCCATGATTAGTGAAAGAGGAATAGGCTGTGTGCTTGCTCTCTCAAATGTGTGCTTTCTCTAGCCTTATGAATTCTCTGCAGGAGTGGAAATAGATCTCGCTCAGTCAGTTTACACTGTGTCCGAAGATGAAACAAGCAATCAAATACTCACTCTAGTAATCAAGAATGGTTTAACAGTACAGGGCCCTATCCCCCTGAGGCTCACAGCTATGAGTTTGACTTCACCGGTTGTTGATGAGGCTGACAAGGCTACACCAAGACAAGATTTCCGTGTAGAGACTGTGGATATTGAAATCCCTCCTGGAGCAGTTGGAATGACCAATATTAGTCTGAACGACATCATTATTGATGATAACACTGTGGAAAACCGCATCCAGAGGTTCAGCCTGATGGTGGAGGTATCTGAAGGCAGAATGTTCTTTGATTCAGACAACTGCACCAAGAAATCTGTTGAAGTGGCTATTGAGAGTGATGACAGTAAGATAGACGTCTTACTGTCGCTCATGCTTTGGTGTTTTTCTCTCTTCTTTACAGCGGTCAGTGTTTCTCTATTGCCGTCTATTGTGGTATTCTATGAAAGTGATGAAGGTCCATTCGATATTTGTGTGATTGTGATAAGTGAAGGAACAGACCAAAACTGTCCTGTGGAGTTTCAAGTAAACTATACTCTTAGCTTCACCAAGAACTCATGTAAGTACGACCTACTAAAAAAAACTAAAATTTGTTTTCTTTTTTCGTGATACATAATGAAGACACCGAAAATGGACATGGCGAGACAATCTTTCGCGATGTTACTGTTGATAAGTGTGACAACATGACGTGTGTCAATCTCAAGGCTGTCTTCAACATTCAGAATGATGAAGAATTCCATTTTCAATTGTTTAATGTGTCTCTTCTACCTAATGCTGAAACTGTACCTCAGTCTGGGATGTTTCGAGTCTCTACAGATGTTGTGATGTTTGAAATAAGAGACGACGACTGTAA